TGTTCGTGATGGCTACCTTGAAGTATGACATTCCATTTTTAGATCAAAGCACTAGATTTTCACTATGGCGAGTCAAGATGCGTGCAATACTCGCACAGTAGGATTTGGATTATGCGTTGTTGGGAATTGACAATATGCCAAAAACTTTGACCGCGGAGGAAAAATTACGGAAGGATAAGAAGACAATTTCTCACATTCATCTTCATCTAGCAAATACTATTCTTCAGGACGTCTTGAAAGAGAATTCAGCAGCTGCTTTATGGTTGAAGTTGGAGCAATTGTGCATTACTAAAAGTCTGCCAAAAAAGTTAAACCTCAAGCAGCGTTTATACTCTCATCGAATGACAGAAGGAGGATCATTAAAAGATCACCTGACTGTGTTTAAAGAAATCGTCGCTGATTTGAAAACTTTGGAAGTAGAGTATGATGAAGAAGATTTGGCATTGATCCTATTGGGTTCGATGCCCGCTTCATTTTCTAGTAAATTTCTGTGCTACTTGTATAGTCGTGATACCTCACCATAGAGGAGTTGTATAATACTTTGTATTCAAAAGAGAAGATGAAACATCTGGTTTCTGAGGCCAGAGATGGAGAAGACCTGGTTGCTCATGGTGGTTCTGGAAGGGACAGATCGAATTTTCAGTTCAGTAATCAGATTTGTAACTATTGCAAGAAGAGGTACATGAAGAAGAATTGCTACAAATTGCAGAATAAAGTAATGATGGCTGCAAATAGATATTCAGATATTTCAGGTGAAGCAGATCTCACGAAGAACATTGTAAGTGATGAGATCTCTTAGCTATTTCTAATATTGAGTCTAAACCGGAAGATGATTGGATTCTTGATTCAACTTGTGTGTTTTATATGTGTCCTAATAAGAACTTCTTTGCTACATATGAAACTGTGTCCAAAGGTGTCGTGATTATGAGAAACAACGCACCTTGTCGAGTTGCTGGAATTGGTACAGACGATTGAAATTTTTGGATGGAACAATTAGAACACTTTTGACCAGGTTCAACATGTTTCGAATTTAAAGAAGAATTTCATCTTGTTGTCTATCTTTGATTCAAAAGGTTATGAGTTCTTTGGTGGAGGTGGAGTTTTAAAGATTTGTAAGGGTACTCATGTTGTATTGGAGGGACAAAAAATGTCTCAATTATATATCTTGTAGGGTCGTGTAGAATTTAGAAGAGTCAATCAGCACAGGTTCAGTACCGTGGTGGACATTTAATTTGATACAATATCTTTAGAAGCTTGTAAATGGTCACATTTGAAGAATATTGTTTAGTGGAGCTCAGGAGATATGGATAATGCTACTTTGCCACAATCACTTGCGGTGACATTGTATTCAATTGTTAGGAACAGACTTAGTGGAAAAAGGTATGTGGATTCTGATTTTTATTGAACATGTTTTAAATGGAGTAGAAAGTGTACAATTTAGTAAGTAGCCTTTTTTTTTAAAGTATTTGTGTTTGATTCTACTTTGGGGTGTGTTACAGTCTATTTTGATAAATTATAAAATCATTATGATTTTTTGGGAATCTGAGATAAGAGTAGTGCTTGGATTCTTTGGAAGAGGTGAAGTATTGTGTTTTGTTGGAGAAATTAACTTTTGGTTATTGTTGAAGAAGTCAGTTCATTCCTTGATAGAATTCGTGTAAGTTCTTTAAATATTTCTTTATTTAAACAAATATTTAAATTATATACATGTCACATTTTTAATTGTTAGTTTTCCACATGCCACAAAAAGGAAATTTAGCGATCTATATGAAATTTGTCTAAAATTTCACCCACGGTCAGTAGTTTAAAACTCTTTGGCAACTTCTAGATGCAGATGA